AAAAGAGATTGTCTCCCGGTGTACTGCCCAATTCACCGCCAGATGGATCCCGATACAAGTCTTCTTATCTTTAATTAACTTGGAAACTCGGCCGGTCACTATATATATATATATATATATAATTATATATATAACTTTAAAGAGGTGTTTTGCCAAAAGCAATAGATACCTCAACCGGGAACTTTTGCTGTCTATGCAGATGCCTTAATAAATTGTTTGAAAAACTTAAGGTCTATATAATATGTATATTATATTAGATAATAACTATATCTTTTAATTATACCGTATATGTGTATATTGGTTTCTCTTGTTATTTAAATTCGTATCAATACTATTTTTACGCGTGGCGAGTTATTAACTCGTCATTCAAATTCTGATTTATAGATAAATACGATAAACCCTAATCTTACCAATTACTGAACACTACATTGCCTCTGCAAACATGATTTTTAACTTATCCATGTCCATTTCCATAATAACATTTATGCTATGGTTCTGCGACACTTTATTATTCCAGTCGGTGACCATTTTCCCACGTGTTAAACTACCTTGCAGCTCAACCTGTACGTGCACATGATCCCTTCTGGTGACGCACGATTTATTAACAAGATAGGCGATTGCGTACAGGTCACATGGCGTGTGTAGGCCTGTTTCGAACTCATCCATTTCCAGACTGCTAGCAGAGATGTCCTTGATAAATTTAGCCTTTTTATTATCACGTGTTACTAAGCCATTAAAGAAGTCCTAAAACAAAAAGAGATCCTATATTAATCTGTGAATAAATCACTCAATGAACCGTTTAAATTGTCTGACAAACTTTAAACATGTAGTACAACAATAAGCGAATCACTGAAAATATCAACATTATTGTATCAATTTGCGTCTTATTTGAAAATTGACAACTTTTTGATCTCTTAATGAGCTATTCAATATTTTAATTTAATTTTAGTTTAAGAAATAGATTTACAGCATCATCGTTAGGCAGAAAATCGTTAAGAAAAATTTATTAAGGTTATATCAGCAACTTTTGAAACTGATTTTTTTTTTAAATTGTTACAGACCTAAAGATGAACCAATAAGAGAGACTTACATATGTAAATCCATAATTTCGGCAAACTTCGTAAGGCAGTACATCTACGGGACATTGACTCCCACTAAGTACAATGTGGACCGCCTCTGGATCGCAAGTGAAGTTAAATTCTGAAGTGAGAAAAGCTGCAGCTCTACCTGAAAAAGACACATGATATCTACTGTAATAGCAAACTGTATATAGGCCTAATGGTAATAGGCAACTTAAACGTACATGAAAAAAGAATTGCAAACAAATGTCGACGGCGTTCTAAAATAGCCAGGATTTGAACTGATGATACTGGACTGGAAGGCAGGCATCATCTTATCCACCATGCTTAAATGTATTGCGCAATTAATGCTGCATTGTCTTTAATATTACATTAAATAACATTAAAATAAATCCAGAAGAAAAATTGTCCAGCTTTGCCGTTATCGATAAGAAGACACTTGGAGGGGACTGGGTAGGCTAATAATCTGTTGGAAAGCAGTTTTGTGCAAAACTATAAGGAAGGGTGAATTGTCAGATGTTCTAACAGGTGTAAACATGATGTCAATGAAAATCTAGACTCAAACCTTCCAAGTCTCCTCCCATTATGACAAGTTCTTTGAGTTTCCGTGTAAAATTTGGGTCCAGTTTCATAGCTATTGCAATGTTCGTCAACGGTCCAATAGCAGCAATGCTTATTTGCCCCGGCATTTCATTCACCATCCTCACCAGGGCAATGGCTGCTACCTCTTCTTTGATCATCGTCAGATCAGGTTCTGGAATGCCGTCAACCTCACCCAGACCATCTTCACCATGATAGTACTCTGCCCTTTCGATGCTGCCAAGGATAGCAGACGTCGCTCCTTTGTATACTGGAATCTGGACAAATCAGTGAAGATTGCAGACATTAGAACGATCTTAACATGGTCGAATATGCAACTACTCCCAACTCCCAATGTTGAAGTGACTTGTGGTCATAGTTATCAACATGAGAGATTTGAAATGCATGACTATACACCATTTGGCTGGGGGGTAGCCACCAGGCCCCGGGGTCCAGGGGTGCGGTGTCCCGGTGGGGGTCCGGGTTCCAGTCACATAATCAACGGTTGATTGTGACAATGAACGCGCAAGACCGCACGCGCCTTCTAGATTCTACTAAGTGCAAAGTTGGTTGGCTGGGGTTGTTTTGGTCGCGAAAGAGAAATTTTCTCGGTGAATTGATTCTCAAACGAGATAACGAAGCCTTCTAATGACTCAAGTTACTGCATGACCGTTTTTAATTTTTTAATAAAACCAATTTTTCTAATTTAAATACATTTTCCTCTGAATTCGTGATAATTCCTCACGCATAGACAAATGTGCTAAATGCGTTACAAAGTTATGCGTGTTTCATCCAAAATCATTTTAAAATGCGGGACCGTCCCACACGATGTGAGACGGTTGGTAACTATGCTTGTGGTACAGCAACCGTTTGACAACACAGTAGAATATAAATATTGCAAGTCGGTTCTGATTTAAATTGTATACAATAACCATCATGGTCATATATTTCTTTGTCTTTGAATCCTTGTTTTTTGGAAGTAGGGCCTATCTATTTCATAGTAACTGTCTCGTATAGCAACTGTTTGGGAGGAACACAATAATTTTACCACACATTCAGTGCAATGTAGGTCTACGCCTAGGAACATAAGGTCCCGCCCTCATTTTCAAAATGTCTTTGACCAAAAAACTGTTGTAGGCCTATCTCCATATAATAATCATGATGTGTCTATATAAATAGTCAAGATGTGATGTCATCATGACCATATTTAGGATGTCACATAATATTTTTGTAAAATACAATATAATTTAGACAGGGCTTAAGAGGGTTTGTCAAGGTCTGCATTCAGTGGCGTATCCAGGGCCCACACACCACCAAAAATACTCGCCCACACTCAAATAGTTAAAAATCACATAAAATTACCTTATTTTGCGAGCTAGCGCCACTCACCTAATCATTGAGCGCCTTACCTGACGTTCTCCCAATCCCAAAAAAACTCCACCCTTCCCCCACCTTTAAAGAGTCCTAGATACGCCATTGCACTGTTTGAATTTGGAGGAAAGTGTTTACTTACATCGAGTCTATCACATACTTCAAGTACTTTGAGAGTATTGGTGCAAACTTTATCTACGTCAACGTTTCCTGCTACACAGGTAATGGCCACCAACTCGACATTGGGCATGGCTAGGGCCAGCATAATTGCTTGGGCATCGTCAACTCCAACATCACAATCAATTATCATATGAACTTGGTCGGTCATTTTGCTGTCAATCGTTCTTAAAAGTAAAAAAAAAAAAATTATAAGAGACAAGCCATGTATAGAGAACCAGAGCTTTAGAAGACAACACTATAGTCCTTTCTCAGTGGCGGCGAATGAGTGAGTGAGTAAAATCCAGATATATAGTGAAAAGCCGAGCAAGAATGGTTAGAAACAATAGACTAGGTGAAACAAAGATTATATATTCAGTCTGTCATTCGATGAAAAATGTTCGTTTTGAAAGCAGTTCATTCATTAACCAGCAATTGTTATTTTACGATCGTTTATTGCCAGTAATGATCAAATCGTTTGTTGCAGTGTACAAGTTGAAACTTCCTTCTGAATGTAAATCAATCCATAACCTTTGAATTGCCATAATTTTTATTGCTTATAATAATTTGCCGATATTTTGCAGCCCATTTTTTTTAAACCAAGTTATTTCAAACGTACGGCGACTCGAAACTGAGCCTGGCAAGATTCTTCAATAATAACAAGTGTCTATTCCTCTGCATAAGTGAAGAAAACTATCAAGAAAATGATCAATCTGGCCTAATAATGTATTACTTACAGGCCAGAACTATACAAGTTTGAAAAATTAATCACCCCTCCCCAATCATGAAACCATGGCATAATTTCACTATCTAGTCTTTTGAGTTGATGGACGGAAGACATTCGTTTATTGTTGTGACCAATTTTTCATGATTCCATTATTTTTCTTACAACAGTGTGATAAACGTCTTACTGCTAATAACTAGATTCCTTACCAATAATGAAATACCTTTGACATAGGCATAGATTTTTTTCACTGTAAATTGTTTTAACTGGCAATATATTAAATTCCAATATTTTATTGCTGAATATTTTATATGTTTTATGTATGTTTTATGTAAAGATGGCCTATTAATAATAATAATAAAGTAAGAACTTATATAGCGCCATTTAAAAAACCGAAGTAATTATCAGTGGCGCTTCATGTTATTGTTGGAATAAGTGCGTTTTGAGTGATTTTTTAAATAAAGGAATTTAATTGTAATGTTTAGAGAGCCACTAGATTGTGGCATTCCTCGGGTAATAAACTTCTAGAAGTGCCATAGACAACAAATGGTGTGATATCGACCACCTATATCAGTAAAAACGAATTTCTTATCCCCTCCCTTTATTTCGGATTCAAGAATCCGGCACTGTTTAATGTTATACTTATGTGGCGAGTCATGTTCTATCTATAATCTTATTGGTAGAATATTAAACCACAAGTGGCACTAAATTTTAAAAAAATAAAAATAAAAGGGGAATAAAAGAAAATTACTTTCAAATTTTGAGTGACAGCTGTGCCATTTCCGGCCATCTAAAAGTGTCATAGACATAACAATTTCGTGCCCCAGCTCAATTCTGTGACGAATCATCTTCCATTTACATAATCGTACCGACAATGAGTAGTACTTGGACTGGGGGCCCGTGGAGACTTGACATGTCCCGAGGGGTCCGCATATGCAAAAAAGTTTGGAACAACTGCTATAGAGGAAAATACTGTCATTGGCGGGAGTTCACAAAAAACGTCCGCACCTCACAAACAACTTTTCAACACTGGAAAATTTTCGAAGCAAAATATACGCATAAGTAGTTGAAAACAATTAACCTCGTACCACCTTCTAGCCAGCTAGCGCTCCATCATTGTTACACTTCACCTTCGCGCCCCTACCCCATCAGCACCCCGATCCAACCATTTCAACACACCTGATACGCCACTGCACTGGGTGCCGCCTACATGGATATCCTCTTGTGTTAGAGACTGAGCAAACATATAGTTGTCCAGTATAATAATACTGTACGCAACACCCATGAGCTGGTTGGACCTTAATTATTACAGAAGTACAAACTAACAATTGATGAGGCATTTCAACAGATGCTTCTCAAATGATGACCTATCAAAAAACAATAGTAATATTGATATCTATATTATTCAAGGAGGGTCTCCTCAACTACCAATCAGTGGGGAAACAAGCCTATGTCAAATTAAGTCTACAACTTACCGTCAAACCAGAAAGTTGAAAGTACAATGAATTGATACTTCCAAACGACAGCAGATTAGGGATTTTATGAGGTTGGGCTAATTGAAAAGAACTGAATAAAACGTCCACCAAGGCTACTGAAAGCAGTTTCCAATGCGTTATTGAATTTAACCTCTTCAGTAGTAAAGCATGGCTGTTTTTCTATGGATTAAACGACAGCAGTTTAGGAATTTTATGAGGTTCGGCTAATTGAAAAAAACTGAATAAAACGTCCACCAATGTTACTGTAAGTAGTTTCAATGGATTATTGATTTAATCTCTTCAGTAGTAAAGCATGACTGATTTTCTCTGGATGTGGATCGGTAATTGGCTGTTTATTCGAAAAGAATAAATGAATAATTTATTTATAATTTGCAAAATGAGGGTATGGTGACGTAGTGTGGATGAATGAATTTGATTGGTTCATGTAAAGAACCATTTTCATTGGCTGAGAGTGATAACGGTGACGTGTTTGTTTTTTGAATGACGTCATGTGCGGGTATGTCGACTTGAATATCCTGGTTGAATGTAAACAGGAATAATGAATTTGATTGGTTCAACGTTTCGCTGGGGATAGCTATGAATAATGCTGGGAATATTAATTGTACAAAGAGGGAATAATAATAATAACAATAATAATAATAATAATAATAATAATAATAATAATAATAATAATAATAATTATGATAATAATACTGGTATAAACGTAAATGAGGTCATATAATTTTAGTATTCGTTTTAGGTATATATTTTTAAGAAATAGCGTCATTCGAGAAAAGCATGGAAACTGAAAGAATTGCACGAGAAATGTAGCATATAAACTAGGCAATGATATGGAATATATAGAGGATATGGACTGTAATTTTTTCAAATATTGCGAAAAGATGTATAGAGCGTGCGATGAACACCTTTATAATTTGACAAGAGAAGTATTACTTGATTCAATATTGAGACGTTTTTTAAAGGCGTTTTAACAGAAATGTTTAGTGATATCATAAACTGCGGCCGTATAATTTTAGTTTTTGTGATTGCAAGGAAGTTAGCTGTGTTATGTAAAAATAGAAACAGAACTGATTTGATTGAACAAGTAATACAGAGTGTAGACAAATTCGTGGAGACGGAATTTTTGGAATGGATTAATTTGAAAGGAGGATGGGTAAGTCACTTTTTTCTTTTTTCGTGTTAACAATCATTGATTAATAAATTTAAACTACAATTTGTTTCTCTCTATATTTTATATATAATATTTATAGGCCTATTTACTTATTATTTTTTTCAGAACTCTTCAATAGCCATGATGTCAGTGTATTGGTAAAGCAAAATTTAACAAAACTGATTTCAAATTATTTGTCCTCCTTGATTACTTAGAGCCAGAGATATTAGAATACTTTGGATTTCCAAGATGACGGACAGTGGTCATCTTGGATAGGTCAGTATAATTTTATCAACATAAGAAGAAACGACACCTCATTGGTCCTTCTAGCTCATCCTGTTATAGTAATTTTACACTTTTGTTTTTTTAAAGATTCCTTGATTTTATCGGTCAGAATGACTTTAAACCATGACTTTTAACATATTTATACAGTATAAGGCATTTTATATACATACAGTGGCTGTAGACAGGGGTGGATTCAGGAGGGGCTCCAGCTGCTGCACCACCCCTAAATTTTTCAAAATTATTTCAAAAATGGGGAAAAAAACCACATTTTTTTTCAAATTTAAGTCTGATTGTACCATTCTTTAGTGCCATAATCATCATTATAATGCGCCGCCTAACTAGGTAAACCTATTCCGAGGCACACAAAAACATACATGGAAAACCAAAAACAAAACTAGAATCCAAAAAAAGTATACAAAATAGTTAAGAGATAAATAATACATTATAAAAAAAACCATGCAAAAAATAAATAAATGTCTTTTTGAAAACATCAAGTGAACTCCACTCAGCGGAGTTCAACTGGTAATGCATTCCAGCATGGGAACTCTGGGAATCATAAATTTTCTTACCTCAGCCCCAACCTTTGTGGAGCTGAGATGGTCCAGACTCCCCTATCTGTGAAAGTCCCTCTCCCGGCCCTCTCTATTTTCAAATCCTGGATCCGCCACTGGTAAGTCTATAGTTATTTTTCCGTACTCTGAAAATGTGTGTCGTGAGACACTGAATAAAGATTCATTTCTCACTCGAAAGCAAAAAGAAAATTGGAACAGCACTGCAGCACAATCAACTATGGTTGTTAAAAAAACAGAAAACGCAAAAACATGAATTATATAAACATCCAAAAACGTTCAAATTGATTTATTGATACAGTACACCTACAGCTTATTTACATCTATTTCTTTCTATTTATAGTAATAATAATGATTGTTTTTTTGATATTTATATTGGCAGACCATTGGCTGATACTGTGTGCATCATGCTTTAGTCTGACCAATTGCATTTTGTAAGAGTACTGTTTTGTATCTATATTTGAATCAACACATAATACTGTATATCAACATAATCTTTTACCAATAGACTAATAATAGATTATAATTAAATTTATTTATACAATCATTCATTTTGTATTCATCCCTAATGGTCTGTCAATATAAATAAGAATCCACCTGTTTTATCCCTGAGTCGTTTTCAGCCCTTTTCAGGCCGAACTGACACAAGACCAAAATGACTCAAGGATAGACAGGCAAAACAACATTATTGGGGAACAAATAATGCTTTTACTGATCGGAAAATCTCAAAAATTAATTAGAAGTGTACCCTCCAATTCAAGACCACTTTTGGGACTTGAAATTTACTGTGTCTATAGGTTCAGACTCTAATTAGAGGGTTTGCTTTGTGTTAAAAAATTAAGATTGTTATTTTGTTTTTTGAAAAAGTGGCCTTGAATTAGAGGGGTCTAGAATTGAAGGGTGCACTGTAGCTCATTGAAAAGATGAACTATTAACTTTCAACCAGAAACAGATAAAAAAAAATATTTTTCGCTGATCTACAGTACACATATTTTACTATAAAAAATCTTAAATTGATTAACAGCTAATTTAAAGGTCTATGCAAAACAATACAGGAAAAAATTATTATTTACATTTTCATACCGATAGAGAAAGTGTTTTCACAATTTTAATTTAATTAACTTCCTTAAATATAAAAATTAAGATATTAATATATGGATGAGGTCGTCAGACCAAAATGTTAATTTGCCTATCTTGATCACCAATCCTTAATTTTATGGTGTAAAAGCACAGTTTTGGGCCATACTAAGCCATAAAAACTCTTCCCATGGACCCTACAAGGAATTTTTATTCCTGGACCCTGATCAAGGCTCTAGTAAGCCTCTTGGATCAGACCCCGTTGTCGGACATGTCGGACCCTTTATCGGCATATTTCTGTTGCCAGCATTGGTTGCATCTCAGGACTATTTTACTATTTTTTTGAGGTAGCTATTAATTTACACTGCTCCATTAGCCTCTAACAAAAATAACTCCATGAGGTTCACACATGGCTAGGTGAATCACACACACTGAATACAGTAAAACAAAATTATGTTAAATAAAATACTGTAGTTCCCTGATTTCTATGCTTGATTAAATCAATAATAACAATTACATAAATAGGAATACTGTCTACAACTAAATTTTACACTGTTTTTGAATACATTACTTTTAGACTATCCATATCCATTTCTGTAATGATGTTTATGTTATGGTCCTGCGAAACTTTCTTATTCCAATCAGTTATCATTTTCCCACGTGTTAAACTACCATGCAACTCAACTTGTACGTGCACATGATCCCTCCTAGTTACGCAGGATTTTTTCACAAGAGAAGCAATGGCGTACAGGTCACATGGTATGTACTGACCCGCTCTGCGTAGGTCTTTTTCCAGACTACCAGCAGTGATAGCCTTAATAAACTTAGCCTTTCTGCTGTTGTGGGATATCAAATCCTCAAAGAAGTCCTAAAACACAAAAGTCATAATTCATTAATAATAATACTCTAGTATATATATACATACTGTCTCTTATACACATCTAGATGTGTATAAGAGACAGATACTGGTATAAACGTAAATGAGGTCATATAATTTTAGTATTCGTTTTAGGTATATATTTTTAAGAAATAGCGTCATTCGAGAATGGGCATTTATTTAGTCTAGCTCAACAAAATTTGAAACCAAACTTTCACTATTCAACAATAAATCAAATGACAAGTTGAGATAACTTACACTTGAAAATCCATAATTTGTACAAACTTCGAAAGGCAGTAAATCTACAGGACAATGGCTCCCACTAAGTACAATTTGAATTGCCTCTGGATCGCAAGTGAAATTGAATTCCGAGGTAAGAAAAGCTGCAGCTTTACCTGAAAAAAAGAAACAAAAAAACAAAAAAAAAACTAATTAAACATCACTGCAAAATTCATCTTTACTTGATAAATTTTGCAATAATTAAACATCATTGCAAAATTCATCAAGTAAAGATGATCATTCGGCAGCATAATTGCATGCTCATAGAGTACTACAGTGTTACGTCAGGATACCATGTGATACCACTCCGTTGCCATCGTTGCAAAATGTGTTCAACCAGATGCCATTTTCCCCACTGACAAACCATTGATTTTCTAACGTACTTATTAAGATGTTCTATCTTAGTTTTTCTTTGTAAATTTTCATTGATGATTAAATGTCTGTTTGGTAACTAATATAATGCGAGCATTTGTGTTTTGAGTGCATTTTGATGGTAAAATATTAGATTTTAAAATGCCTATTCCAGAAAGCCTATGAAGTCATTTAGGCATAATGAACGGTAACCAACGTCCGGTTGGCGACAGAGGGCGACACCTGGCGTTGTGACAACACGACTGTGGTACTCTACATGAATGTTATGCTCGGTTCACACAAGACAAAAAATGGGACATGTGCTGGATGTTTCAGACTTCCCAAAATATTCCACACAAGCAAATACAAGCTGCTAAAAATAGACCGTGCAATTCATACGCAGGTGGTAAAGATAAGGGACATGTGCTGGATGTTTCAGACGTCCCAAAATATTCCACACAAGCAAATACAAACTGCTAAAAATAGACCGTGCAATTCATAAGGGACATGTGCTGGATGTTTCAGACGTCCCAAAATATTCCACACAAGCAAATACAAACTGCTAAAAATAGACCGTGCAATTCATACGCAAGTGGTAAAGATAAGTGCGACACCTCAGAGTGAATATCAGCTGAATTCTATGACCGTGAATCTCAGGAGTGTTACACTCTGTCCACACTATCAAATTGAGTGTTATATGAAATTCATCATGCCCATATATGGGCACATGACACAAATGTGTCACATTAAATTTGATAGTGTGGATTGAGGCCTCCTTAATGTCTGCTTTTTTTTTTATATAGATGAATATTACATGGGATGTATGCTAATCTTATTATGAAAAAAAAAAAGTTTGGTTTGTGACAAGTTAAATTTTGGGACTTTACATGCTTTTTTGACCAGGATTTGACTATAACCAGGATACATAAGATTTAGTTTTAAACAAAACACTGGGATAGAAACAGATGAGTTTAAGGCTTCTATGTATTTGTCATTCAAGTAACATTACTATAAAGCTAAGATATAACAACACTTTGCACTGGAATCTCTATAAGTATATTTTTTTAGAAGTAAATTGTCAAAAAAAAGACTCTCAAACCTTCCAACTCTCCGCCCATTATGACAATATTTTTGAGTTTTTGAGTAAAATTTGGGTCCAGTTTCATAGCTATTGCAATGTTCGTCAATGGTCCAATAGCAGCAATGCTTATTTGCCCCGGCCTTTCATTCACCATCCTCACCAGGGCAATGGCTGCAACTTCTTGTTTGATCATCGTCAAATCAGGTCCTGCAATGCCATCGGCATCTCCCATACCATCCTGACCATGATAGAACTCAGCTCTTTCAATGTTGCCAAGTATAGCAGATGTAGCTCCTTTATATACTGGAACCTGAGTATAAGAGATAGCAATGAAAATCTTGGAAAAAAACGGTTTAATATAGAAACTTTACACAGAAGCTCATACAAATTACAATCGCCACACATGTAAGATCTGTGCTACAGCTATAAAACCAGTAGTGACGGATAGAATTTGAAATAAATGTGCCCAGGGCCACGGACAAACTTTCACAGATAGAGGGACCACCCAACTCTAAATGGCCAGAAATGGCACTCTTACTCAATCTCAGACTTGATTATAATTTGTCGTTCACATCACGAACTAACACAATCAAAGTAGATTGTGTTAGTTCGTGAAATCACAGTAGCGTGTCAAAACGAGCACGTATTGGTTGTCAAGCAATTTTGTATTCTTTACCACACGAAAAGTCCTTAACAACAACAGCACGTATTTTGACGCACTTTCTTGATTTCACAAACTAACACAATCTACTTTGATTGTGTTAGTTCGTGATGTGAGCGACAAATTTAATTTTTTCTCAATTTTTAAAAATAACTTTGGAAAAATTTCTGGGGCCAAGACTGATTGTGACCCCCCCACCCCTTGAATCAGCCACTGAAAATGCTCTCAGGGGCATCAACTGTGTAGTGGACGTATGGTAACAATCACCCATCAACCATACCTTGTCAAAACATAAAAAAGAAACATATTTTTTTCTTTTAAAAATAAAATATTTTTGGCTATAATATTCGTAAAATGTGTGAGAACAGATTAAAATTGCCAACATTTTTTTAAAGCTGCCTGCAGCAGACTTTCTGTATTAATAGGAATTTTGTCAGATTGCTGTGAAACATCTTAGCTCTCCCCCAACAAGTCTCTGCATCCCACCGGTGAAAGTGAATGTTTACTTACATCGAGTCTATCACATACTTCAAGTACTTTGAGAGTATTGATGCAAACTTTATCTACGTCAACATTTCCCGCTACACAGGTGATGGCCACCAACTCGACATTGGGCATGGCTAGGGCCAGCATAATAGCTTGGGCATCGTCAACTCCAACATCACAATCAATTATCATATGAACTTGGTCGGTCATTTTGCTGTCAATTGTCCCTAAAAAGTGTAAATATAGTATGGTAAACACTACTGAATTCCAACAATTTATTAACAGTAAATTCTTCAAATTACAATTCTAAAGATGGCATTGATCGTACAACAACAAGCAGTCTAGAGTTACTTTCATGGCCCTCCACCCACCCTTAAAATGGCTACAACCCTGGGGTAAATTTAAAAAATGTAACACCTCAGATATCTGGAGATGGCAATAAAGATGTCAAATTTTAAATATTTGGAGTTAATTTCAACAACTTCAATGCAAATGGTACTTTTTAATAATAATTTAGAAGGGCATTTCTGAAAAAGGGGGGTTCTTTCCAACCCCTCAAACAGTTAGTCTATGGGGCTTGAACAATAACATGCAAATACTACTAAAGGAGGGCTACATTAAAGGCACGAGGCAGCCACCATTGTTTTTTATAAACAGGATACCTTTGATACCAGTTATAGCTCTTTTGAACCTGTGACGTCACAAACAGGATATAATCAGTCTGTCAGTTCTCTCACTCTTATATATCCTGTTCACCAATGACTGTGTAAATAATACCTATTGTTTTCGTCTACTAAAATATGCAGATGATATTCGCATAGCCAGATATAATAATAATCTTTATTTGAATCTTCACTTTAAAAACGGTTGCACACGATGACGGTGCATTCACAAAGATTACAAAACAAACAATAAACATTATACAACACATATAAAAACAAGGAAATATTAACAGTATAAGAAAAACATTGTGTGAAAAATAACTTTAAAATAAAAACACTTTAAAGCTTGTTAAAACTGGCTGTTAAAATTATAATGGGTTAAGAATCATTAAAACAGCATTCAAACTTCAGAGTCATTGTTTACACATTGTTTGGATTGAATTGAATTGGATTTATTCGGTGTAAACACCAAGGATAGCCCACGAAAGTCTAGAAGAAGACTTATTTCCAGTGGGTTCCTTCTGGTGGTGATTGGGCAGTACACCGGGAGACAATTACCTACTCTTTTCCGAAGAGTGTACTACGTTCTTTAACGTGCACATGGGCCATAATGCACACAGGACCAACGGCTTAAACATCTCATCCGAAAGACGGTGCGCTATTGTAACTTGTATTTCAGCCCTCTAGCTGAAACACAAGGAGAGGCAGAGGCAGCGATGGGAATTGAACCGGGGACCTAGAGATCTCCACGGTTCAGTGCACACACAGCAGCTACCAGCAGATTAGCCGACTGAGCTAAGCTGCTCTCTCGTTTAACTGTTATTTACATTATATTCATTCATGATTTTACTCCTTGCTTGCCAAGCTCTTTTTAGGTAAGACTTAAATATTTCATTAAATGTTATACTTATATTGTTATCATTTCTATAGAATTTGTACATTTCGTTATTGCCGAGCATGAGTCGTGTTTTGGTATTTAAATCACTAGAAATAAACAAACCCCAAGCAAACTGACCATTAACCTAGTTACATAGTATATCCTCTAGCTTTACAAATTCATCTATAAGAACGTCATTCATTTTGGAATTTCTACACGTAAATAATAAGTGCTCAATATTCTCATTACCAGACTTAAATAGTGGGCATATCTCACTGGTGTCAGTTATCCATTTGGTCACTTTACTTATTAGTGATACAGTATTCTAGCATTATGTTCCTACTATTGGTTTTGATTTTAAATTTGATGAATCAATTATAGTGCTGGTTAAATGAATCATGTTGAACATCAACCATCCTTTGTCCTTAGAGTATAACGTTTTACGATCAGGACGCTGTTTACAGAGTATTTACTTAAGAAAAACTAGATACAGTACAATAAGTCGTTTGTCCCAAGTTCAATTGTTATTTTTAATAAATCATGCAGCCGAGGAAAATTTGAAAATGTTTTATGTTTTATATAAATTGTTTTTACTTTGATGGTGTATTTAACTTGGTGTGATTTTACATTTAAATCTATTTTTACACAATTTTTTTAAATGAATATTTTAACTACACAACCTTTTGTTTTTTCTGTGTGTTGACTATTTATTATTTGAAAAAATGTACAATTTTAAGTAGTGTATCAAACAAGAAATTTCCAATTGTATGTTTTAATTTTAGAACAAATGAAAGTTTTGAATTAAAAAAAAATGTTTTTGAGCACAATCAATGAATCACTTAGAGTTCAATCACATGGAGTTAAGGTATTCATAACAACAAACTCTTTATCATATGCAACAGGTCAAAAGGTCAATTTCTGAAGATACCATATAAAGTACATATAATGAGACTGAGAGATAGTATGTAAGCTCTGCCCATACCACAGTAAGTTTTATGTGATTTGGAAATGGATGTCAGACATCAACGTGCAAGCTAAAATTAACATTTTGCATACATGCATCTAAAATATTAAAAAGACAGCGAGGTGGTTTAGTTTAGGTCATGGGGTGGGTGGGCATAAAAATCGGTCGGCGGGATAAAGCGAATATTTGATTTAGCACTGAGGGCCGCACCCAAACTTTCATGTTTGGAATGTGCTTCCAAAAAACCTCCATGCACTGTTTTTACACCACTTTACTCTCAATATTACTGTTTACAGATGATGGTTGTCAGGCTGTAAAAAACAAGTATTTTGTAGCCAAAGATGTTTGGCTGGCTGCACATTTTAATTCATTTTCGCGGACCATAAAAAAAAAATATGTCTGGCCGCATGCATGCGGCCCATGGTCGACCTGGCCCACCTATGGTTTATGTGGTGGAATACAAGGAGCAAACACGGTATAACTTATCGTTTATTATGGTAATAAAATGCATGGGAAGATGCAATATTATTAATAATATTACAGGTTCAGGATTTCTGTGCCTCATTTTATACAAAAAATTCAAGGACAACACACAAAAAAGTAACAAAAAGGCCGAGCTTATGCAGCTGCCAGCTATAAGAACCCCCGGGAAGGTGTTTATCCTCGTTTTATAATAATAAAGACAGTTAATATATTTGTACCATATATTGTATTTCTTTATATGTTTTTTCTTCATCCTGTTACTGGAGGTATCTCTGTTGGTTGTGGATTGAATACAATAAATAAAAAAATCAAATAGTTTAATTAATTTATTATATCCCACTTGAATTGTTAATGTTAGTGCTGTGTTCTTTATGTAGAGCACCATAATGGTCGCTGCGATTATTCGGGTCTGATTGCACCTCCAATTTCAAGGAAAGAGAGAAAGACTATTCAAAGATTAAATGGAGGAGTTAAGTTATTTAACTTGATATCTATATCATGAAGATGATTCCGAAAGCGACATCGATTTATTGTTTGAAGTACCGCAAAAATAACGTTCAGTTCAATTTTCAATTCAATTCAATTTCAACTTTTATTGTCAAACAAAGTGAGAATATGGTTTGAAATTCTTCTTGTTTGTTCACAGTTAAAATGTAAGTTAAAACAAGACACAAAAGATATTTAAAAATCACAGAAAAAAAAAACAGAGGAAACAGCATAAATTTAAAAACAATAAAAGTCTGCTAAAAGATTAAAATGGCTAAAAACATTAAGAAGGGGTTAAAATTGGTTAAACATTCTGTGAAAAATCAGCTTTGGCAAAGGCAAGCAGATTGGGGTATACAGCAAAGGCCTATCTTTTCCACATTTTATTAAATTGTCTCATAGCGCTTGGGAGAAATGATTTACAAATTCTATTTGTCCGCATCCTTGGATATAACATACGTCCAGTCCTGCTGAAGGTGAGGAACTGATTAAGAGGGTGATTAACAACTGATATAATTACTTCCACTTTTTTACACATTGCACTGTTAATACAAACTTCTATATTCTTACTGTTTTTAGTCCCTATAATTCTGTCAGCTGTTCTACTAATTCTTACAACTTATTGACTTAATAGTAGGTTTGATTGCTTTAATTCTCTGAACATATTGTGGTAACAGATGAACGACATCGTGATCTGACGTGTCTATTTTTGGTTTAATGACACATTTGTGTGCTGCAGGTAAGTTGCCATAGCATTTATCTAGAGTATTGTTACCTCTGGTAGGTTTGTCAACATACTGATGATAAAGTGGCATGGTATTCTTCAGATCACACTGGTTAAAATCACCCGTGAGAATTTTAACAGCGTCCGGCGAGTCATTCTCCATGTCTCGTATTAGATCTCGTAAATAATCCGCTGAATTTTTAACAATGGCTGTTGTAGTGATGTATACCACCGTAACAAGTATTTTTGGGAATTCCCTGGGTAGGTAGTAAGGTCTAAGAGCGACCGTAAGCAATTCTATATCCTTTGTACAGTATTGCCTGAAGACTTTTATGTTTGAGCACCAACGGTTATTGATGTAGATACACACACCTCCTCTACCATCTTTGCAAGCATCGGGCGTTCTGTCCGCTCGTAAGCAAGTGAAGCCATCAATATGGCTAAAACTATGAGTGTCGACATCCGACCGGAACCATGTTTCAGTAACGCATATTAGACATGCATCCCTGAAATCCCTTAAAGTTGTGGTATTTACCGTCAGTTCTTCAAGCTTTTCTCTAATAGAACGAGCGTTGAACATAATTATAGATGGGAGTGGTGGAATGAAAGTTCTCCGTTTTAACCTTTGGCGAATGCCCCCCTCCTACCCCGCTTCCTACGTTTCATATCCCGTGGCAATCCATCAACAAAGGCGGGCTTCCGCGAAGACAATGGCCTTGCTTGAAGTAGTTTTAGGGCCAGACTACTATATACCAATCTGCTTGAATTCACGTCAAAACACATCAGGAATCCACAGTCTCCACAAACAACGATGATAACACACCACAAATATTGATAAAGTCTGTAACAATAGTTGTTACTTTCTCCAAAAACAGTAACAATAAATTTAGTTAGAGCCATGAACAAACATGTCGCTAGCAGAGCAGGACCACCAATCCATGGTGAATTTAGATAAAAGTTCATAAGGTATCTATTAAAGTTTTCATAGCTTTGTATTAACACCGGTTTATGTTACCTAAAAGAGAGTCATGGATTTGCAATATCAAAATTTGATAACAGGCCTTTTAAATTATTCCTATAAAATAATTGACTACAATGTACTTTATTTCATATTTAAAAAAAAAAAACTTTAACCCTGAGATCAATCCTAATAATGTGATTTGAAATAGGCCTACATGCTAGCACCTAATTAAAGAGCATTTAATAATGATGTAGCTGGGCATTTAATTTGTGGTGAATTTAATTATAAAAAAAAAAAAAAACCAATGAAACACTTTGTTCTCTGTATATCATTTTGATTTCTTCAATTTCAAACCAATGATCGCTGATTGTCGTGTAAATTCTTGTATTTTAACAGCTGACTATATGTACCCACTAATTACTAATCCATTTAAAATCTGGTCAAATTTTGGCCGATAAAAAAATGTTGGCCGAATTTCGCCTTAAGGTGGTGTGTGTTTTGTCGTGAAGCCTGTCGGCTATCTGGCAAACCCTGATGGACGATTCAGATCAGGCCTAGCTGGAAACAGAATGCAGCAACTGTATAATGGCTTGAGGATGATTGTTTTTGAAGTCGAAATTTTGATTTCATTTTAAAAAAACTACAGCCCGCCTGAATATAATTAAATAAATAAAGTATCCGTATTTAAATATAAGATGGCTGTCACAAAATAATTTCTTTGTGCGTCAATTTCACACAATGGTCAGTCACATTTTTGACGAAGGGGTACATCATGGCATGCATATGTACAACGCACATTCAACAAGTGACGCACCCTTCCCGGGGGTCGTATACATCATACAACTGATGGCTGCATTAGGCCATGTAAAAAAATAAGTTGCTGATCATCCCTTACCTACATAAAAAAAAAAATCACCAACCAATTTTTTTCTACCAAAAGTCACGGAAATATATCGTCTTTCCACCCTTAACTCAACGTTGGCTAGGTCTAGGGGTTTTTTTTGTGCAATATAATATTGTCGTTCATTTGTTTGTTCGTATAAATTACAAACACTGGAACAGTGGAATATTCGTCAAAGCACATGGTCAAAGTTGGCCACCATTTACATGAGGCCTTGCAATCCATGGTGGGATTTGAAGACTTGGCATCAATGGGGTGGTTTCAATTACTGATTTTAAAAAAAAACCTCCCTCCCTCCCACCGACTGTTTTTTTTTTTTTTTTTTTAGGCCGGTCAACTCTTTATTTACATGGTCTTTTCCACTGTGTGTAATGATAAATTACAGAAAATATAAAACATACTAACTACCCATTTCCATTAAAAATATATAGAAAAGCAACATCAACCAAGGGCCTTATAATCGTGCTGATGTTATAAATTTTGAATATCATATTTAATAAGTCCCCCACCATATATAGCCTAGGCCTACTAAGTGCTAACCTTTGATTTGACAATCCCCACAAACCCAACGGCCGGACGGGCCGCTTGTTGCAGCCCAGGTAGCCTGCCCAGGCGACTTTTTTTAGCAACTGCTCCCCAATTCATGACACTGCCTCTTTAACCTGTGGTATGGTTTTTTCCATGATATCTAGCCCCAAATAAAAATCATCTACACCTACCTAGGCCCTTGGTCTAATTTGTTTGATTTCAACCGCCTAAAAGTGACAGTCAGTGCAGGGAGTTGTTGGTCAGTGTGACCAGTGATGCATGCAACATCAAATTATGCCGATGTGAGGGTATATTTAAGACAGTATTGCGCCCTCAGAGTGACCACATCAAATTACATTAAGATTAGGGACAAAGGCAGTGAGAGTCAAGCCGTCCATCCGTAAACATCGATCCTCCGATGTCACTCACCCACCGTTACATTTATATTCATAAAACTACCGTAACTATATAGGGTTTGAGCCGCTATTTTAATCTCACTATTGTGGAAAGACTGTGAATGAATGACTTAACATTCATCTTTTAATTTGAATCTTTCTAATTTTTATCGTAAACTGATTTTACTTGATCGTAATAACTGCTTTAAAATATCGTGAATTAATTTAACATAGATTTGAGTTTCGTTTATGCTTTCTGTAATTATTTAATTTGGTTTAAATATGTTCTTTTAATCGGCACTGGCTTTTGAATCATAATTTATATTTTGGTACATTCATATTTATATAATTATTCTGATAAGCATAATACAGTTTGTGACCTTGAAACCTTTGGAATAGATCATCTTAATTTAAAAGTCTAATAATTTGTTACATTTATCCAGTCTTCTTCTCAGTCTGTCCAGCGTTTGAATCAGTATTTAGTTTTAATTCAGCCTTAATCGGTCGTCTCACATCTTTAACGCTATTCAATTTCATTATATCCGTTGGACAAGTTCCGACGGTGACACCGAGGCTGATGGGAAATTATGCTAAATTATGCCAAATGCTAAATTTCGAATAAGCACCCCCTCCAAATGGTAAATTTCGAATAAGCGCCCCCCAAATGTTCAATTTCCCAAAGCTCCAAATGTTCAACTTCGACAATTTCGAATAAGCGCCCACCCCGCCCCCAATTTCGAATAAGCTTAATGCAAAAAAAACCCATTTTCAATACCATTTTTTCTTCATTGAGAATTTAATTAATTGTTGTTGTAACCCGGATCTGTGTGCTTTGGTGGCATACTGTGTAGGCTATTTCCAAAGAAGGGTGATTTATTCAGTATTGCAATTGTATACAAAAACATTTAAAATATACTTTCTCACATAGCTCCCCCTCAAACTCAAAAACCTTCCTGAAATGAAGGATGGTATGGGAGGTAAGTAGACAGCAACGACAAAAGCGATAAACTTTAAAAAGAAGAGACAGTAATGAATTAGCAAAAGCTGATATATGAAGCATGTACGGTTTGCATTGTAGTGATACACCGGTAGGCATTAAAGTAGCCTATCATAATTTGAGATTATGGAAAAGTAAAACATTCACTGTTAATTCTGAGGAGTTATTGTAACTCCCCCTGTGGGGTAGTTATAACCCACAAAGGGGGAGTTATTTTTTGGGAGTTATTTTAACTCCTTAAATGGTATTAAAGTAACTCCTTAGGGGAGTAAACCTTAAGTTTACTCTC